TTGAATTTTCGAATCAACTTTAGAGAAGTCAAATCACTCGTAGAATATTCTAAAAGTTTCAGTCGAAAAAAATGTTCTTTTGCGCGAGATATCGAATTTCCAAAAAAATATTTGCTTGCCAGAAGTATGATACAAGAATGAAGTTTACTTGAAATTCAATATTTCAATAACAAAAAAACTATCTATCACTGAAACTTTCATGATATTCAACGGGCTATTCGACCTATATATGATCAAAATTTTACGTCGAAATTTGGTCGTTTTTCGGTATATATGTGAAGCTTGGTCAGAAATTCAGTAAAACGATCACAATTTAGCTCCGAAAGCCCATAGACACGAACTTTTTTAGACTTTTGCGAGTCCCACCGAAGTGTCCTTCTAGTCTCAATATAAGCTCAAACGGCAGATAACATTTCAGTTGGCTTCCTCATCAACCTATATTCATTGACATCCACAAGAATATCCAATCAATTTATTAGCACAGAATTGGCATAGCTTTCTGCGTGTAAGATGCTGGAAATTGGAAATTTTAGCAACTTTTTGTTTTCAATTTATTTCCTGTCATTATATGGAGCACACAAGTTATCCATGAAAAAACTACTTTTCGAATTTTTAAAAACAATTTTTTTCTAGGAATATTAGAAAAAAAGATAAAATTCTAGGTATCATGATTAAAGTCGTCACTATTATAGATACGTAAATATTTTATTTTTTTCACTTCGTAGCACACTCAGTATTACTTTCTGATTCTGTAGACTTAACTGACCAAGAAAAACCTTATGTACATAAGTTTTTTTGGTCAATTAAATCGGCAGAATCAGGAAGTGATCGTTGTAGTGTTCGATGGCATGAAAAAATAAAATAAAATATTTGCATACCTGTAATAATGACGACTTTAATCATGATATTTAGAATTTAGTCTTTTTTTTTCAATATTTCCATGAAAAAATTGTTTTCAAAAATCGGAAAACTAGTTTTTCATCGGTAATTTAATATGCTCTATTCAATGACACCAAATCAATTGAAATAAAAATTTGCTAAAGTTCTCAATTTTCGGCATCTTATCCATCTTGAAAACACTTCAAAATACACAAAAAAAAGTGTAAGATCATCTTTAAAAACATTGATTACCGTTTTAAAACATTATTTTAATCAATCAATAGTATTTTCTCTATATTTATAAACACTCAAGAACAAATCCAATTCATTTGTTGACAAACAATTCAAAATATCTTCATATGAACTTTACTTGAAAAAAAACCATGAGTTCTTTTTTTAATCCTTTACCCCTCAAAGCGGTTCCAGAAGAATCACTGATAAAATAACTATACGAACAGAGTACTAACGTGCCTAGTATGACAATTATGTGATCTGATTCACCGAATGTCTACCTCTTTGTGTAGGATCATTTAGTTGGTCGATTGACCGTGTAATGAAGTGAGGGGATGGAATGACATATTAAGCGTTGATTTGTTTTTCTTTGACCGCATTATTGAATGAGCAAAAGTAACATTTATCCTATCTTATTGAAATAATGGAAAACTAAGGGAATAAACCGATAAAAATTAATATAAAAGAAAATGCATGTATTTTTACCACATTTTCTTCAATAGGCATCTACCTTGCTTTGAGGCATTTAATAACTTCTGAAGACATTTAATTCAAAATCAATACTATTCTAACTTCTCATGAGCTGAGGTTTATAATACATATATTACCATTTCTCTTAATTGCCCCAAAGATGTCTCATAATGGCTCCTTAGTCACCTATATACGTTAGTGTGTGCAATTGGTCAACTTATTGCGATGTATTCGAAACATATTTCACTTACTAGTAGACACTTTCATCCATTTATATCACATAGAAATTCCGAAAGATCTTTGTTTAGTGTAAGTAGAGAACGATTTGTTTTGAAAAATTCGATTATTTTTCATTTTTTTCAGAATTATTGATTTCTATTGGTCCAATATTTCAAAGACGGAGCGATGAAAAAAGTTATTCTTTTTACCAAGTGATAGCTCATAAAGTTCACTACAAAAAAATGTTCTTATCGTTTTCAAATCCGATGCTTCCTTTATTTTCTGCAATCATTCTACGAAACGGCAATTCCAATTGCCAATGAGGAGTAAAGGGTCAAAATATTCGATCTTTATATTCTCGGACTATTCTTCTTGATATATTTTTGAATTCTTGACATTCGAAATAGAATATAATTACAACACATGCTCCCTGCTGAGCAGATCATATTTTGATGATTCATACAAAATGCGTAGTATTATTACCAATAACTCATCTGAAATCTGAGTACTGGTAACGATGTATTTTGTTTGCTTTGAAAAATTGAATATGTATTATAGTATTACCATAAACTACTAATATCCATTTACATATTTTAGCTAGTCGAGTGCAATTAATGTAATATTCTATCTTCAAATTGATTCAGTAAGTCAAAACAATTGATTTTATTTAGTATGATAAAATAAATTCAAGTGTTTGCTTAATATTATTAAAGTAGTATATACTATTCGTTTATTCTATGAAAAAAAAATTCAATATATAATAAGTTTTATTAAGTATTATTAAATTCTTAAACTTATTTTTCGATAGAATGAATTCGAATGAAATCATTTATTAGTCTCTTCTTGATTATTACTTTCGAAATTTCGATGTGATGTAGAATTGAATGTTTTATTTAATGATAAATTTTAAACAATTAGTTCTGAAATTCTAATATAAATATGGACAATCATGAAATTTTATAGTTTAAATAAACTTATACAATCTCATTCTATAAATGATAATCAGAGTAACTCAATAATTTAGTTTAATCATTGTTCTAGAATAAAAACAAAACATTTTTTTAAACTGTAGTTTCATTTAGAAGTACACAGAAAGTGTCGATTTATCTTGGTTTTTTTAATACTTCTATTTGTGAAACTTATCATATAAAATAAATACCACTTGATCTAGTAAATGAATTTTTATTTCAAACTGGTCATATGACATTAGCGTCAATAATCTTTTGATAATTCAAAATTTTTGAATTGGAAGATTAAGGGAAATGAAAACGAACTCAATACATATTGTTTTGTATGAAAAAGAAAATAAATAAAAATTTTTAGTTTCTATCGTAGATTTTCAATTAATAAAAAAACCATTTTTAAATTTCTTTCCAACGTAAAACCTCAATTAAATATATTAAAATTTTTTTCACTGGTTATAATCATATCCAATAGGTAAACGAATGCTGTTGTGTTTTTTTAATTTTTTTTTTCCCTCTTGTTATTAATCGCTTCTCTATTTCTCTCTATATATCTATAAGTTTTCTAATGAAATAATTGAGATATTGTAATTTCTTTAAAATATGAACTAGACTCTTATTTTTTACTTATGTAATAGTTCATTCGTCATAGCATCATTAGAAAGAAAAAAGCTTTTAATCGAATACTTGAGTAGGCGTATCAACTTTTCGTAAATCACAAATGTTTGCATATGTGATGATTAGTTGCTTTTAATAGTGACCTCTGTTCGAAATGTGTATGTACATATGTCTGTTGGCAGGGCAAGGACAAATAGATGTGTGTTTGCTTGCATTAGAAAAAAAAACGAAAATCAGAACTATTCAAGTATTTATATAACGATCAAGACAATTTTTTGTTTGCCTCTCAAGATCATTATTATTCTTAAAATGAAGAGAGGCAAGCAAACGAAAAACGAAAAAAAAAAAAGAATATTTTTATATACTATAGCCTATATTTCCATAATCAATAGGCAAATAAATAGACATTGATATAGAGAGAGGAAGAATGATGACTAATATTAACCGATTTATTACTATGTAAATTCTGTGTGTATTTAATTTCTAGATTTTTTTTTCTTTCATTGATATTGATAAAAAACAAAAGCGCCTCGAAAATTCATGATTCACTCTATTCGTCATTGAATGTTCGTAGATTTTATTATTATTATTATGTTGCAATAGGTGTGTCATCGTGCATCTATTTTTCTTTTTTTTCACCCACTCAATTATTTTACTAAATTATACTTTAATAGTAAAGAGTATATGTGCATTTGTGTTGGACAATCGACTAGAGTAGAGCATAGTTTATATATGTATGCAACTGCACATTTTCTTTTCTCTAATTACTTATGATCAACTTCTCTATCGTCATCATCATCATAGACAGGTCGACAAAGCAATATTCATAAATCTTTTCTTCGCTTATAATAGGCATATCAAGAATTATTTGCTAGTTGTCATTCGAACGACACATGCATACATTTAGCACTTTCTATCATTTTTTCATTAGTAGAATAAATGTGTGAGACAAGTCACATCATAATTCTTTATATACCATGATCTACAAATATATAAAAATACATTTTTTTTTTCTCTGACTCTTTATTCGCATCATTCATGAAAATAATATGATGTAACAATTCACAAATATAGTTGAAGTTAATTATTGTCAAAGATGAAACTATTCTTCAAACTTAAATGAATGACTCTTGTTAGAATTGAATATTCGATACATATATTTCAATCATTAACCTTTTTTTTTTCAATTATTGTCTCGTTACATTTGAACTTTACAATTAGTTAATAGTTGATCTGATACTTTTTTTTTTTCTATTCTCTCTCATAAATGAATAGGTATGGTTCTATGTCAGTATGAAATTTTCTTTTCTGTTATTTGCCTCTATGCATGTCAAATTATTCTTGACTTGATATAACGGAAGTGAAACATTTTTTTTTTTCGACTATTTTTTTTAACTGGTCTCATAGGAAAGAGAGAAAGGTGGAAATTGTTACTCTTTTTTTTTTTTCTTCTCTCAATGGAGCCATTCACAACAATCGTAGATAAATTGTTGTGTGAATATTTGTCTGTATACTTAGGAGATAAAAGAAAAAGTTCTCTCCTTTTTTTTTCAGATCAAACGATTGTAATAAGAATATAATATTTCCGATTATACGATATAAAAAAAAACAGAAGTTTCTATGATGGAATTTGATTTAAAAGAAGTATTTTCAATTTTGGATGAAAATAATGAAGGACAAATTCAGTTACGTCGTTTTGTTGATGTTGCTAATAATTATTATTCAGATGCTGAAGTAAGTACATTAGAATTTTAAAATATGAACAACTGTTCACATGAGTATACTTCTAAAGAAACGTGAAACTAACCATTCTTTTCTTCTTCTATTGAGAGAAGAAAAAAAAACACATTATAAATGACTAGTTTTTTTAGAGTCAGATGTGTATATGAGTCGTCTCATATATGCATATAAATCGAATGCAAACTTTATGATTATTCTCTAGCTTTTCTTTTTTCTTTTTTTTTTTTTGTCAATACTATAATACATTAATGATATAAACACACTCACACATATTCATTCTATTTTAGCAACTTGATCGAATTATTAAAGCATTAGATCCTAAAAATACGGGTTTAATTAATTTTCAACAATTTTGTCATGGTATTGCTCAAATAAGTTCATTACAAGGTGTTTCATTAAAAGATGTTGCATCAGATTTAACACGTCTTAGTCGTGAAAATTCATTATTAGAAGATTCTGATCAACGTAGTTTGGTAAGATTGAATGAATTATTTTATATTAAATTAATTTTTATAGATGAAAACAAAAATAAAAAAATAAAAACCAATTTATTTTTCCCTAGAAAACAAATAATGGTTTTGATTTTTCTTCATTAACTTATTTATCAAATCTTCAAATTGAAGAGGTTATATACTATTATTTGTTAATTTATTCTGTGTCAATATTTTTTTTTTTTAGTTTTATTCTTTCTTCATACAGATCTCAAAATTTTATTTTGTTTTTCTTTTGTAGAATCAAGAAGGTAGTACAACAACCTTTAACGAGTACGACGTTGACGGTGAAGAAACCTCTCCTCATACCAAAATACAATCAACAAATAATAAAATCAATAATAAAACCAAACATACTAATCATAATCGATCGATTTCATCAACATTGGATTCATCTGTGTAAGTTAATCTAAAGACTGAAGTTTGAGCAAGTGAAATATCGGCTTCAGAAGCTCGTCAACACGAACTTTTTCTAGTCTTACCGAGTTCTTCTTTCAGGTCCAATATGAGTTCAAACGAGGAATAGTTCCTACATATAAAAAAAGCTACCGAGATCAGTACCAAAAACAAAAACATTTACTCCTGCACATCTCTATTCACATCTTTTTTTCTTCTAGTTTCGGTGAAGAAGAAGAATTTACTGGTACAGCTGAACCGGATTCAAATAATCCTTCATCTGATTCAATAAAACATCCACGTACCGGTACATCTCAACGTATATCGTATGTTTGATTATTATTTTTTTGGTTTTTAATATTTATTGTTATTTTGATATTTTTAGGGAAGTATCAAAACGAAATAATCCTTTAAAATTAACTATTCCATCGGAAGAAATCGATCAACAATTACAAGAAAGTGTTCGTAGAAATTTTTTTTTTTTGTTTTTGAAGAAAAATAAATTGATCTTATTTTCTTTTCTTTTAATAGGTTGATGAATTACACAAAACTGTTGACGATTTAACGAAACAAAAACAGACAACAACTGATCGTTTAGCTAAAATTCAAAATGAAAATACAGATTTAAAAAACCGGTAAAATCAATATTAAAGTTTATATCAATGTTTTTTTTTTGTTTTAATAGACTTTTAGCACTTGAAGATCGTTTTCACGATCTTGAAGGACAACAATCACGTACAACACAAAGTGAACAACAAAAATACGTTGACTATATTGTAAGTTAAAAAATGATTTTAATAAAATGTAATAATAATATTTATATAAATTTATTCAGAATCAAAAAGATCGAAATTTTGTACAAGAGAAAGAAATTCTACAGACAAGGTAAATAATCTCAAAATTCTTGTTATTTTAAAAAACTCGTTTAATTGAATCTTCTAGTGTCATGAGGTCTGTTTGTGTTTTGTTTTTTTTAGTAATTACTTTAACTGTTTTCTCTTCTTCTTGCATGCATTGTTTGAATATATCCTTTATTGTCTTACTTATATTCTTTTTCTCATATATATATATATGTTAGAGATAGAAATAAATATAAAATATTTTTATTTAGAATTAATGCAATTGAAACTGAACTTAAACAAACACAAACAACAAATGGACTAATGAAAAAAGATGTTAAACTATTAAAAGAGGTAATTAATGATTCTTATTATTTTATTGCAAATCAAAATTTAATGAAAACAGTCAAATTACTTCGATTGATTAATATTCTTTGTCTTAAGGCTGGAATAGTTTTGATAACTAATTAAAGACTTTATCCAGGAAAGTTAAATCAAATCTTCAAAACTAAAGATATTATGAATTTCATAAGTTGCAGTATCAAGCAGTAATAAAATTGGTCTAACTTTTCTGCTTTTATTTGGTTAATTTATATAATGAATTTTATCGGATGTTAATAATATCAAATGAGACTACCTAGAGATGAACATGGTATGAATTTCAGATTGATCTGTCTGATCTATTCACACCGGTATTGATGCCGGTCGTCAAAATTCTAGACGGATTCTCTTATAATGTGCAAAACAGGAAGTGTTCTTTAGAGGTATAAGCCAATCGGCTGAGCCATCAACGCTCCAGCCCCGCCGCCGCTACCTGCGACCTAGTCGCACCGCTGCTGCCAACGCTCTAGTCGTGCCGCAGCTGCTAGCGGTCTAGCCGTACCGCCGTCGCCAACGCTTTAGCTGTGCCGCGGCTGCATGAGATCTAGCCGCGCCGCCACTGCTGGACATAAAAATGGACACTGGATTTTCGATATCTAGTATCTGTTTTCAGGAACGGTCTCTATCATTATTTTCTCCTTTTTTTCATTTTAAAATTTCAGTTGTATATCGGCTCATATCTCTAGTCATCTTGATACAGGATTACTTGAATTTACCTAGTTTCCAGTGTTTTATCCAGGATTTTTTGGTATGTTAAATCTCAGCTTCAGAGCATGGGATCCAGATGAGACTTATGAAGGATGATACTGGAGCTAAATGATGAGGTTTTATGAAAAAAATTTTGTGATTGGAGTTTGCGAAAAGAAAATAATTTTTTTGCTTGCCCCCCCCCCCCCCCCGGGAAATTTGTTTTGCTGTTTGTCGTATTTCATTTTTTAGAATGCCATAGTCAGCTACATGAAATTTCACCGACAGATTTCAAATTT